GATGGCCGAGTGCTGTGATGTGCCCAGTGTGGGTACTCCGGGCAATCCAAGCCAGGACTGCTTTGCAAGCGGGGCACCCCTGAGAACTGTCTGTCTGGGGTGGGGGTCGGGACCCTTTAAGCTCAGCCCTCGGATAGAGCGTGGAGATGCTGTCTCAGGCTAAGTCCTCCTCTGATGCCCTGCCGGCACTGCTTCCGGCCATCCTTAAGCCTGGTTCAGGGTCCACTTAATGTGGACATGCTAGTTCGAATTAGCAAAACGCTAATTTGAACTAGTTTTTTAGTCTGGATCCGTTAGTTCTAATTAACTAATTCGAACTAAGTTAGTTCGAATTAACGTTGTAGTGTAGACGTACCCTTGGAGACTAACAAAAAATATATTGCCGGCACTGCTTCCGGCCATCCTTAAGCCTGGTTCAGGGTCCACTTAATGTGGACATGCTAGTTCGAATTAGCAAAACGCTAATTTGAACTAGTTTTTTAGTCTGGATCCGTTAGTTCTAATTAACTAATTCGAACTAAGTTAGTTCGAATTAACGTTGTAGTGTAGACGTACCCTTGGAGACTAACAAAAAATATATATAGTATCATGAGCTTTCATGGGCAAAACCCACTTTATCAAATGAGCCATTGTGGAAAGAACAGGAACCCAGGATTTATAACAGAAAAAGAAGGGGAAAAAAAAGTACTTTGTCAATTGTAGGACGGGTGCTAATGAGGCTAATTCAGTGGGCCAGAAGTGTCCCATACTTAAGTTTTGATGGTTAAAACGTTCCCCTACTGGTTTGTATGTGTTACCATTTCTGATGTCTGACTTGTGTCCATTTATTTTTTGTTTGGCCAATATATATACGGCAGAGGGGCCTTGCTGACCTCATTAGCTCCAGTCCTATGGTTGACAAGTATCTTTTTTCCCCCCTTCTTTTTTGTTACAAATTCTGCGTTCCTGTTATTTCCACTCCAGCTCATCTGATGAAGTGGGTTTTACCTATGAAAGCTAATGAAACATATACACAGTGCTATTTTGCTTTTTTTGGTAAGAAAAAGGGTGCCGGTACTTCAGGCTCAAGGTTGTTGAGCAAAAAAAAAAAAAAAGCCGCATGCAATCGTGGCCCCTTTAACAGCTGTGTGTCCCGGGCACGCTTCTGTCAGGAGCCAAGCCGTCCCAGGAAATAGATGCCCTTAAACAGTTAACTCTCTTTTACACGTACTATAGAATGAAAAGGCTAAAAGAGTGGAGAATTCTTCAGTTGTGTGCTTTTTAGGATATGAAGTATCAATACTGGTTGATTATCAAAGTGTCTTGGTGGAGCTGGGGCCCAAAATGCATTCACTGAGTATTATGAGATATAATTTGATAATTAATTAATTGCTTCAGTTGGATTGCTTAAGTGCTTACATGTAAGAATTTTGCTGGATCAGGACCAGAATGCTCTGCTGTGTGCACAATCCAGCACCTGTATGCTGCTTGGCATTCTGAATTTTATTCAAACTCTGTTTGACACAGTGGGAGCTAAGTAGTTCAGGATTAATGTGATGCTTTGACAGGCATATGGAAAAGTTTCTGAGGCACTGACGTGTTAAGTTTTTAGCGCTAAGGCCTGCTTTGCTTACTCATGGAAGTAGTCCCATTGAATTCAGTAGAGCTACTCAAATGCATAAAGAGAGAAGGCTGTGACTGTTAACTTTTAGTTCTTATTATCACTTTCCATATGGTTTGCATCCACAAAGACATGGTGCAACATTGCTGGACTTAATAATAAATGAACTCTACAATGACATGGAGAAAAATCGGAATGCTTGTTATGCATTCGTCACTCTACAAACTCCTTCTATACTTGTCACGTTGAACTGCATGAAAACCTGTCAAGTTTTCTTTAAAAAAAATAAGAGATAAAAGTGTGTGACCGTGAAGATAATATTTAAGGATGAGGAATTTTCCTGCATGCTCAGTGGATCCACAGGCTGCAAACCTATGGCTCCCCCTTGAATTACTTGTCATTATAAATTGTCCTTTTTATACACCTCTTAATTACACTCATATGAGTCGGCTTTTAAATAGAAGAATGAGCAGTCAAGTGTAAAAATGTCCTGTTTTTATCAATTCAGCCATGCTGTACCCAGAGTAAGTTCCTCTATAGATGCCCTTCTTATGCAGCTGTATCTGCAGTGCAACTATAATAAACACTAGTGTTGTCAGGCCTGTGAGTTGACTCTAGGGTTGCCAGGTGTCTGGTTTTGAACTGGACAGTCCAGTATTTGAGCTTTCTGTTCGGGGAAACAAATTGAGAAAATATAAATGTCTGGTATTTTCTAAATAAGATGTAATGTAGATTGTGATGCAATGTTAAATGTGACCGATATTTTTGTTGAAACCATCTGGCAACTCTAGTTGAGTATCCCAAAGGACACCAGAGGTGCTGTCATCTTGCACCTGGACCCATTGATCAGCATTTCTCTAGGAAGCCCTCCTGGCAGAAAACGTTAACTATATATCTGGACAGTTGCTGGCCAAGCACCCATGAATCAAAGGGTGTTATATCTGATGAGTGGAGCAGGGCCATTTCTTTTCAGACTCAGCTCACACATGAATGAAATAAAACGATCCCTTTCTTAGAAGTGGGAAGTCCAGGTTTGATAGCCCACGAGAGTCAAAGAGAAAGCATGCATCCATCAAATTGCAGAAGAGAGACTAATTCATTACATGTACATGGACTGGTTAAGGCATCATTTAAGTCAGTTCTGATATTAATACAATGCAATATTTACCCAATTTCCACACCTAAGACAGCACTTTTAATGAGCAATGAAAGTCCAGGAATTTAACTACCAAAATGCATATCAACAGAAGACCATTATATTGACTACTTTTTTGTTTTGGCTTCCACCCATGGACCATGTGCTGAGCCCCATGTAAACCCAAACTGCACCACAGGCCACAAACAAACAGGCCGTGGGCTGCATGCCACCCATGGGCCACATGTTGCGTAGCCCTGATCTAGTTAGTTAGCCAATGAAATACTGGAATCTGCCTTTAAAGATTTCTGCACACAGTAGGTATGGTACATGCTATATGACAACTTATTAGGTCCTTTAGCTTGGACAATTTTTTGTCATTCCTCACAATCATAATGCTCACAGGCTTTAATAGGCAGCTGGAAAATGTCCATCACAGCAGGGGTTGCTAAGTGACAGCTACAGTGTGTGCAACAAATAGTTCCTACCCAGACTTATGGAAAGAAGTTCTCAGACTGTGCAAATGTAGGTCTGTTGGAATGAATAGGCAGAGTCCCTACATGCAACACTGCTATTGTGCTCCCATTGAAACTCTTCAAATAGGGCAAGATGGAAAAAAAGAAGGATTTAATAAGAAGCCCAGCAAAGTTCCCCAAGAATAAATGCTGTGTAACTAAATGTTCAGTTCCGAGGAGTTTCAAAGGGAACTGAATTTGGCTATATTTCAGATTAAATAGAGCAAGAGCAGCCTCCCTTTCAGATAGAAATCCTTGTGTTCATTTTAATGAATTTGAAGCAACGATGTTGCTGCTATTTGAAACAAATACAGTGTGAAATGTATGGATAAATACTTCATACTTCTAAAACAAAACAACTTCTGCTGAAACAGAGTCTATGCATTTTCTTTTATGTGAACAGAGTTTCAGACCTAAATATGTTTAAATGCTTCTTTCTACAGACCACCAGCACCAATATGTCCCTCTTCCCAGGACTAACCCAACCTGGCCCTAATTAGGAATGTTCAGTACACCAGAAGACATCTCAATCAATCAAGGTACATATGCAATTGCGTTCAATTGCTAATACTTTTAACCTATTTAAGAACTTTATTTTCAAATTCCCTTTTTGTTTCTTAACAAAAAACTAATTACATCCTGGTCTTTACCCTGGGAATGTGCTACGTTGGGGACGGGGGTTAAGAAGGAGAGGGTCAAAGCAATCACCTAGAACAATCTGGTTGACTGCTCTTACAATCTTACAGCATCAAGTCAATAAATAGGCAACTGATTCAGTCACAGTCTGCTTCACTATCCATGAGTTTGGGTCCCAGGTTATCATTGTTCACCTATAAATGTTTTCAGTTTAAATTGATATTTCTGTATGATTAGGATTGTCAGATGGTTGAAACAAAAATACTGAACGCCTCCCTCTCCCCCCCCAAAAAACGGGAAAAAATTCTGTTGAAGGGGGGGGAAAAAGCAGGGGGGAGACCAACGTTGTTGAGGGGAAAAAAAGGACTCCAAGGACTTATTAAGCCAAAAAAAAAAAATTTTTTTTTTTGAAAAAAAACCCAGCATTAAAACAGCATGTCCCCTTTAAGTGCAGGGATAGGAACAGGGGAGTGGTTGAGCACTAAGACTCAGGGGAAGCATTGCTTCCAGTAGGTTTTTTGGCCAGCAGCCATTTTGTGCCAGCAGCCTTGCGGAAGCAGGTAAGCATGGGGGCTGGTGTCGTTGGGGGCCGGGGAGGGCGGGTGCTGAGTGTTTGTAGGGTTGCCAGGTGCCTGGCATTTTCGCTTCCTGGCCGGGGAAAAATTCAGAAAATACCGGACATTTCAGGTGTCCAGTATTCTCTGAATTTTTTACCGGACAGGAGCAGAAAATACTGGATTGTCCGGGTAAATACCGGACACCTGGCAACCCTATGTACTATTATATTTTTGAAGGTGAGATTTTTCAACACCCGAAAGGCAAGCAATTTGCAGCTATTTATAGCACAGGAACTGAAACTTGACCCCCTGGATGATCAGGCTAAAGGTTACATGAGAGCTGGGGCTCCCTGTAATCTCACAAAATATTTTTGTGGGATGTTAGGCTTCCACCTGAACAAGTCTCACAAAGTCAGTTGGTCTTGTTCAGATGAGGCTAAAATTGCACAAGGCCCCTGTCTGCAACCAAATTACCTCTGTCCTGAAATTCAGAATGTTAGATCCAAGCACTTTCAGTTTTGTCCCATCTCTATTTAATGTATGAATGTAATATTAGCTTTTCGAGGCTTTTCTGTTTTGATTTTGTATTTAATTTCTTTTGTAAAAGAAGGGAAAACATCTCAATAATTAGATATGATCAGAGTTCTACACTTCTCTTACATCTAGATATGTTTATCAGTTCTAGCTTGCCAATCCACTATGCTCTAACAATGCATACGTAACAAAACATGTAGATGGTATCATGGGCTTTCAGTGGCACAACCCCAATGCAAAAGGAGTAATATAATGCACCTTAGCCCTGATTAGGAAGCCCTTAGTGAACATAAAACTCTCTCTCATTGTGTTGATGCAAAGTTTGCTTGAGTAAGGACTTCTGAATCAGTAATGTTTTCTATGATGCAGCTATTTCTAGATATTGTCTCTGCTATTACTAAGGATGTTGAGTATTGAGTAATTGACTAATCGAATAGTCAATGCATTTTGCCCTCTGAAAGTAGGGCAGTGGTGTGGCTTTTTGAGTGGACTAAAGGATACAGCTATTCACCTGGGGAGCACAGGGTTGGGGGCTTAAGTCCTGCCCACTCTGAGAGTGGCTGGACAGATAACACAGGCTGCCCCAGGGGTGGAGCTGGCTCGTGTATTAGAAAGGCAGGATAAGGGACCCTCTGAAGATATGGTAGTAAGGTGGGTTCTGAAGCAGCTTAAGGGATAGGGCACTTACCTGGGGAGTACGTGGTGGTGGCTTCTAGTCTTGCCCACCCCAAGAGTGGATGGACAACCAGCACAGGCTGTCCCAGGGATGGCGCCAGCTCCCTCATTAAGAAAGCAGGATAAGGGACTCTCTGAAGGTAAGGGAGGTGCAGTGGCCTATAGGAAAGAGCACTGACCTGGGGATGGTAGAATGGTGGACTCTAGTGTTGCTTTTCCTCCCATCCTGGGTGTGACCAGATGGCCAACACAGGTAAAGAGACCCTCTGAAGGGAGGTGGTATGGGTTTTGGAGTGGACTAGGGGATATGGCATTCACCGGGGGGGGGTGCAGTGTTGGGGGCTTGAATCCCACCCAACCTGGGAGTGGGCAGGACAGGCCACCCAGGGATGGAGCTGGCTCCCATATTAGCAGAGCACGATAAAGGACCTGCTGAATGTAAGGGAGTAGGGTGGGTTTCAGAGTGTACTAGGGGATAGGGTGGTGGGCCCAAGACCTGTCCCCTGTAGGCACCTCCAATCCTGTCCACACCCACCCTGGTAGCTACCAGGAAGCCAACACAGGATAACACACAGACCCCACAGCCTCCACTGGCCACGGTTCTCTATTATTGATCAATTGGAGCTGCAGGAGTGGTGTCCACTGGCAAGGACAGCACATGGAGACCCCCTGCTCTGACTTTCTCAGGCTTTCTCAGGGGCTGCAGGGACATGCCAGCCACCTCCAGGAGCACAATTCCCACAGGGACAATTACTCCACATAGGACAAGTTAGGCATTTTAGAACTACAACTCAAAGAATTACATTTAAGCATCAGAGGGAAATGAAAGTTATGAAATGAACAGACAAGTAAAAAATGAAAACTAACCCACTTTGCAAGCAGTAAAAGTAGTAACAATCCCCTATGTATGTGTTGGGTCAGCAGATGAGAGGGAAGGACAGTGTATGCTTGTGAGACACACACATAATGGCTGCATCTAGATTGGCAAGTTTTTCCGCAAAAGCAATTGCTTTTGCCGTAAAACTTGCCAGCTGTCTACACTGGCCTTTTGAGTTTCTGCAAGAGCACTGACGCTCTAATGTAAGATTGTCAGTGTTCTTGCGGAAATGCTATGCTGCTCCCGTTCGGGCAAAAGTCCTCTTGCGCAAATGCTTTTGCGCAAGAGGGCCAGTGTAGACAACGCGGTATTGTTTTGCTCAAAAAAGCCCCGATGGCACAGAGAGAAGAGGATGGAGGGAGTGTGGCAATGCAAATCTCTGTCACTCTCACACAGTACGGCTACGTCTAGACTGGCAAGATTTTCCGCAAATGCTTTTAACGGAAAAGTTTTTCCGTTAAAAGCATTTGCGGAAAATCTTGCCAGTCTAGACGTAGCCGTACTGTGTGAGAGTGACAGAGATTTGCATTGCCACACTCCCTCCATCCTCTTCTCTCTGTGTGGACATAGGGCACAGGAGTGGGGGGGAGGGGCACCCTGACATCAGAGACCCCCTCTTTTCCCTCCCATACCCTGCACAGCAAGCAAGAGGTTCCCAAAGGGCAGCTCCAAGGCAGAGGGCAGGAGCAGCATAACAGGAAGTGGAGGTTTCCCAGCCAGACCAGTCAGGATCACCTACAGAGGCTCCAAGATCTACTGGTAGATCCCAATCTACTGGTTGGTGACCACTGCTCTACTGATAGGGGCAGCAAGGACGGAGGGAGTGACTTATGGGATAGTGTGACAGGGTCAGGCCAGGGAGCTGCTGCAGAGAGGAGAAAAGGTGGTAAAACCCCCTGTGAGTAAAAGCAGAGAACTGCAGCCCAATTAGATGCAGCTGGCTCAGGCAGATAGGGGCCAGCTGACTCCTCTGCTGGCTGACTGAGGGCATTTGAAAGCCTCAGCAGGCGGAGGCTGGAGTGTGAGAGGATAAAAGGAAGGTGGTGGAGCAGCGACAGAGAGGAAGAAATTGGAGAGAACAATCTGGATCAGTACTAGGTAAGGGCAGCTAGGGAGGGAGCCTGAGGGTGTGTGGCCAGCTCCCTACCATTGAGACCCATTACAAAACCCCAACCCTTGGGGCTAGGAGGAAGAGGCCTACCCAGTGGTGGCTTGGGGAAGAGGGGCCCTTGCCACACTAGTTAACTAGTCCTTCACATCTCTAGCTAGTATAGTTGGAACTTTTCCATCTGTGGATCGGGAACATGATGGCACGGTGCTCCCAGATGCAGGTTAAGGTTCGCTGTCTATTAAGAGGCCAGGTTCCTTCTGTGAAAAGCCAGCTATTTTCTATCTACATTTAGATGTCCTCCCCATCTTTGTACATCTAAAAACGGGGGCGTGTCTTGTGCTGTGATCGTATTAGAGGTGTCACAACAAAGCTGGTGGAAAATTTTCCAGCTGAATGGTTTTCTCTCAGAAAATGCCTATTCCTTGAAAGCAGATTGTTTTGTAAAAATGTATCTAAATGTCACTGTGGGGATGAGGGGCTGAGGCACTCCTGTGCATAAAAGAGACAGCTCCCCCCACCACTTGTATGGAGACACATAAAACCATGCAGGACAGAGACCGGCAGGTGAAAGGGATTGGCCTCGCCTGGAGCCTCCAACCCTCTGTCAAGCACCCTTGTGGAAGGGCAGGGGTGGGGTCTGAAGCTTCCTCCCCTATTTGTTCAAGAACACTGTTGGCTGTCTCCCAGGGGAAAGTGCACAGTTTGCTGCAATCCTCACTCTGGCTGAGGACGGTAGGAGGCAGAAGAACCCCTTCCCTGGCTGTGCCTGCTGCAGCAGAATGCAAAATGCAGCACTGAAGGAAGCAATTCACAGTGGGGATTATACACTAGCTAACTTGAATTAGGGAAAAATTGATAGGCTTTTCTTAAAATACCAGAAGGACTAGGAGGAAACAAATTATTTTTTCATCCCATTTGGAACAAAAACAAAGGCCTAATTGATCTTTGTGAAACAGAGTTAGTGGAGATGCTGGAAGAGTGTTTACTGTAGCAGTGCTAGCTAGCACAACGCCAGTTATGTAGGTCAATGCAAGGGAGGTGACAATGCCAATTATGCTCCCAGTATGCATGGCCTGGTTCACAATTATTTAATTATCCACCAGTGCATGGATTAAATTATTTTTTTTTTGGATGGCACAATGGTCTGTT